TTTGCCAGTTTACTTGTTGCCTTTATGAAGGAGAGAATTATCAGAGTTTCTTACTCTGCCCTTTTTCCTATGTCACAAAGGTCTGCTTTATTATAATATTCTCTTAATATTCGTTGCAAATATGGTTAGAAGAAATTTTACTGACATAAATATTTCTGGATCATGAAAACATTTTTAAGTTAACAATTAGAAAAAAGACATAGGTTATAACGTGCTTTTGAAAAATGTGAAGATATCTGTGGTAGTTAACCTCTAACATGTCCCCAGTGATCCTTACCTCTGGTTTCAGTCCCTTTGTGGTTCCCTTCTCCCCACACTGAATCAGTGTTGACTTGTGTGACTAAGAGAATAGTGTGGAAGTGATGGTATATAACTTTTGAGACTAGTTTATAAAATACATTGCCACTTCCACCTCTTTCTGTCCCTTGGAGAGATTATTCTTGGGAAAGCCAGCTATCATGTTGTGAGAACACTAAAGAATACCTATGAAAAGGCCCAGGTGCAGAAGAATAGTGTGTTCTGCCAAGTTTCAGCAATAACTTGCCAGCTGCATGACTGAGCCACCTTGACAGTGAATCACTCAGCCCTGGTAGAGCCTTCCAAAGATTATAGTCCCAAGAAATATCTGACTAAATCTTATGATAACCTGTTAGTCATACCTGCCCAGCCACACTGTTCCTGAATTCTTGACTAATAGAAACTACAAGATAATAAATATTACTGTCTTACACCACTAAGTTTTGGTGTGATTTGTTTCTCTGCAATTGATACAGTAAGCAATTAAAAACATTTATCTACAAGGAAGCAAAAATCCTCAAAAAGAAATTGAACCATGTTTTAAAAAAATACCCCTGAGAAAATACTGGCCCCAGATAGGAGCTATTTCACACCTACCAAACTTACAAGCTTGTGTTCAGAGCACAAAAGGAGATTGTGATTGTAACTATTCCCTATTCATTTTCTGAAGGTAAAATAACTTTATTTTACCAAGATCTGAAAATGATCAAATAGATGAAAATCACAATCTTACTTACGAATATAGATGCAAAGATATTAAAAAATCCTTCTATCAAATGGCAGTGTAAGGTTTTCCAGAAATGCATTATACATCTATAAAGCTATAATAATTTAGACCTGATGTACTGGCATCATAATAAATATTAATGGAAAATAATTTTAAGAACTCATAAACAGAGCACATTAATCCTAACATCAGTTATGAAATGGCCCATTCTTTCCATACTTAGTTGCTAAGTACCTTAATCTATATTATATACATATATAATGTATTAATAATATAATCCATGTTTATGGTATACATATGTAATATTTTAAATCGGATATATATACTATACATATGTGTGACTTACATTAAAGCATATTGTCAGGCAAAGTGTAGATACATTTAAAAATAGATCTTACCAGGAACTCAGAAAGTCAATATTCCAATTATAAAATAATTGAAAAGGGATAATAGGCAACTGATAGAAGAAGAAATTCAAATGCCAATAGCTATTTTAAAAAGTGCAATTTAGGTGGTAATAAAATAGGTAATACTTATTTTCTGAAAAATTTCCAAAGTTATTCAAAATGAACAGTAGCTAATATTGGGTTAGTTTGAGGGGAATGAGGTAAATATAATTAACAAATTTCTTGGAGATTATTTGGCCAGAATGTGTCAAAAACCTTAATATCGACCCAGAAATTTTACTTAATGATTGAATATTAATGCTTTGTATTCTTATTATTGCTTGCTTGTGTTTTCTTTATATATGTATTATATTTAGCAAAGGAAATACATTAACAAATCTTACAAATTTTGTTTGTCCTTTCACCTGGGGAAGTGGGCAATTCGTTGCATAGGAGTGCAAAGTTTTATGTTGTTGTCCTTATATGGAATCTAAGAGCAAACTTTGGTGTCTGTTTGTCTCATCACATTTGGAAGGTGCTACATACCTGCAAATAGCGGACCACTCGGCAAACCAGGTCAGGTGCCATGAAGTCTCCCGTGAATCGCCAGATAATATCTGTCAAGATGTTGACCAGCCCGGCGAAAGAGTCTAACAAAAACACACAAGAACTTAAATTCAGTCTTTTTCAAATTTGTAGCTGTGCCAAAGGAGAAATGAATTCCTGGGGAGACTTTCCCCCCTGATTTATCAGATGGCCTCTGAGGAAAAGTGAGGCAAGGTAGGAGGGTCCTTGACTTTTATTGTTGGAGTTTGTCACCACTTAGAGGTAACCACCTAGGAAGGATTTCAATAATGACTAAAGAAGGATCGTACTAACCTTAGAGTTGACCTTTTAAGTCACAGAAGAGGAGTTCTAAGGGGATCTAGAGCTGTAC